TAGAGAATGACAAATTTCAGAAACTTTATTTTAATTTTCAAAATTTTTTTATATTTATTTTAGTTGTTAATCATATATTTTATATTATAATAAAAATTTCATTTCAAAATTTAAAGATTTGAATTTACTCTTCGATTAATATATCTATAAGTCTATTGACTTCTTATTTCAATTTTAAGTTTTTTCATATATGCATATCCATGTTAAATTTGGTTTTTCCTAAGAATTGAATTAGGAAATAAGAAAAAGTTTCAATTGTATGCTAACATAGATTCAAGACAATATTTCTTTGAGCTTTAAGTAAACATCAATTCACAAGCATTATCTATTGAAAAGATTACAATGAGCCATCGATCATCATAACCAACAGTATTGACTGATGTCAATTAACATGTATGTATGTATATATATATATATATATATATATATATATTTATATATAACATGCGTGTAGTTGTTGCTAGTTGAGTGACAGCAAGTTAATTTCTTCTATTTCATCCTATATGACAATGTCTGATATATTTTTTTGGAATTATTGGTAGTTTGGACCGGTAATTTAAGAAATGAACGATGAACTAACCAAAAGAGAAAATAAATTAATACCTTGAGCCGTATATGGCACTTCCGCACACAGTTTTCATTGGCTCATCGTGCTCTGTGGTTAGCAAAGCCGAGGAAGACTACAGGCAGCACAAAGCAATTGGGTCATTTTACGGCTTGATGGGGGCATTCGATCCCTTTGCAACAGTACTGGGTGCATGTGATCCCTTCCATGAATGTTAATCTACCTTGCGGTGATGCACGAAGGTCGAGGGAGGGAATTTGTGGAGAATGCTTGCTTCCCCCGAGCAAACACATGAAGAATGGAGCAGAGAAGCTCGAAACTGGAGATAAGATATAGTCATCACAGCTGTTCTCTGTGCATGTCAAGTATCGAGAAGAGCCTTCTGTCAACGGAAGAAAAGTTGGCCCCACTGCAATCCGCACGTTTCCCGCAGTTTACCTCACTCCAAATCTCGAAGGTGGAACGAGTCGACGATCTACGACCGAAACCAGCACAAACGTCAGAAATTCCCCTCCGCTTGAACAGAAGGAACCCACCGAGGGTAAACTGGCATTTAGAGAGGGGGTCCTGGTCAGAGATTGGTTCGTTTGGCCAACCAATTCGGGAAAGAGTTGATTGAGAGGCGAAGAGGACAACCACAAGGCATCGGAATGAGAATAGAATACAACGCGGGCATTTGCAACTTGTGGCCAAGAACTCTCGGCCATTGACATATTCTCAGCCAGAAAGCGGTAAAGACTTGAAAAAGTGGCCTCTCTACGTCTCATAATGCACGATGCAATCCACACCACCACAAAACCAGCGAGTTCTAAGGTCGTCGCGAAACAAATCCGTGAGTGTTCCGAAAGCTTGGTCCTCAGCCCACCCGTAAGGGTCATCCTCAAACTCCATAGCTCAGCCGGGCCACGTGTACCCCGCGCATCTCTATCCCATTGGCCACGGGCTACTGCCTGTCTGCCAGTTCCCTCTTCGTTACGTGGAGACCAGACGCCCTGACATGCTCGGTCTCGGCAGCGATGGATCTCCTATCTTTCCCCGGGTCGTTCACAAAAAGCGCTAGTCTGGTCAAAGTTGTCTCTTGTCATCTCATCTGATCACACCACATGATGGGCTGTTCTCGGGTACCCCTTAATCTACATTGAGAGATTATGTTAATTCCGCACGATGCCCTAGCACGAGGAGAATGGTGGATCAGGTTCACGGCTTCGCGCATATTTTGGCGGTTTCGTTTCCTGAACTGGATTGGTGGACCAGTTCCACACATGCTTCAGCTTTGGTGTTAGGGTATACCATGTGCAAAGTACCATTGTTACGTACTCGAGAAAGATCGAACCGCGAAAAAAGTAGACAAGTGGAGTTCTTTGGCTACTTTGTTGTGAAGTGTTTTTCAATATAGTAGTCGATCGGACTGATTTTATGAAGGTATGACACTAGACGTATGCAAATGGGGGACATGAGCGTTACTCCTAACCATCCTACGCACGTGTTTTAATTTGTCTTCAGAACTTTCCCTTGCAAAGTGCTCACTTTGAAGGGCGTTGGGAGGTCTTCCACATATTATTTAGTGGATTACATGTATGTTCAGTACGTTTTTGCAAGATACGGGCGAATGCTCACGTGGTGCTTAAGGATACGTCCGTATGCTTCTGCTCTCTTATTCTGAGATATCATTACGAGGTTTTCTGACTCGGTTAGTGGGCAGAGTTTATCCAGAAGTATTTGTTTGGAAATATCAATCTTGAGATGCGGATAGGTTTCCATGCACGGCAGGATTTGATACCTTGTTTTATGACAGAACATAACTTTCGCCCAGAGCTTTTGTAACGAAGTATAATTTACAAGTTGCATTGGAAGTCGCGAATTAAACCATTTGTATGACAGATATTCTTTAGGGATCAGATACCATTCTTATTATCAGATGGGCAAAATGACACTATGACACACTACTTTTTCCCGAAGCAAAGATTCCTCCGCCTGACAATACGTTTCCGGAGCTTGGATCATTCGTCTTTTCTCTTTAGATTGGGATTTCTATCCTTTGCGCGCATTCCGTAAAAGACCAAATTTCAAGTCCACCGGAGCAGAAAGAGAATGAGCGGGGTTACGGTAAAGTTTTTGGAAGGGCCTTTTCTCTGTTTGTTGAACTTCTACTTTTGTCACATCCTTGCATCAGAGAGCAGACGCTTTAAGAATTTCTCTTCCAGAACATCAGCTCTTCTTATTTGTTGGGGGCACTTTAGGCACGACCATCGGGAATGCAAAAGGATTCGCCTGCAAAAGCTCATCACTTTCAGTCGTTTCACACATGTAATCGCGATTATACGCATGCTCAAGAAGGCCCTGAAGCAGATCTTGCTCTGACAGTGCTTAACTTCGCCATCGCCGCTCGAGCCGATATTCCAACACCAAAGACCGGAGTCCGCCGGTCTTCCTGTCGTACTCGTTCTGCACAACTGAAAGAACGGGAGTGTTGTTTTGGTTTTCTTGACCTTGACACTCTGTTCCATATTTGTTTATTAGTAAACTCCAAGATCAACGTACGTATTAAGCCACAGCCATAAAATGATTAGGCTCCGTCTAAGTGAAAATCCTGATCCTTTGTGTACATGGTTAATAATATCTGGTGGATATTTCAATGTTCAGGGCTAGTGTTCTGGACTATAGAAGATTGGCCACAATCGTGGTACAGGTTTATAATTGACAAATCCCTGTATAAAGAAGTCCTGCCCTCTACAAACAGCATTCAGTTGCAGGCCTATTCTCTTCTACGGCATGAAGTTGCCTGCTCGCAACTGCCAGCACAGTTCTTCACACGCAGGTAGCAGTCAAGAACACACTGCGTTGGTTCATCTGAGGTCGCAACAGATTGAACAATAAAGCAATGGAGAAGAGCCTGTGGCTTGCAACATAGAGTCAAATTTTTGACTTTCTTTGCCGAATTCTTTGACAAGGGCACGTAGGGACAAAAAAACATGAGCAAGTTGTTTGGAATTAGAATCAAAAGTGTAGAGACTCTCTTGAAAGTCAGTAGCTTGTCCCATCTACCACTTTCTTTCCATATCAAACCGTAAGAAGAGACTACAGATATTGGAATTGGCAGAAAAAGGGTAAAATCGGATTTTATAAAACTATGGGAAAACCGATACAAGGAAGAAAACAAAGAGTAAACAAGAGGTTAGGACCAGATTATGTAATATATAACCTACTAGATCCAAATGGTCTAGATCAAATTCTCTCAAATATTCAAGAGCATATGAGAAAATATGTAAGGTGATTGTATTCTTGTGAATAGCATTAGTTAATGCTCTTCGTAGATTTATGAAAACACGACGCCTAAACTAAAATATGCTAGAAAGATTGATAATTTCCTAAGCTTTCGTAAGCTCACAAATTTGTCAAAATCCAGATCCATACTTATGCAAAGAAGAATTCGAAATGAAAACTTTGTATACCCTATGCGTGGAGACATTCACTGTTCAGTAACATGTATCATGGATCGCACATAAAAGTAGGATTTGTAATTATCAATTCGACAATTGATATTATCTAAGAAAGTAAATATCCACGTTAATTCTTGGGGGATCCAATCTATACCAACAGTATCCTTGGGGAGATATTTATACCCCCAGACAAATTATAGACATTAAATTTAAAATTTTCATTCAAAGTTATGTGAATCCATGCCACATCTAAAACAGATAACACACTCATATGTGAACAATGTCTTCTCAGGGTTGGATGCATATTTTTTGTTAGTGTTATACACTTGTGAAAGTCGATCGCATTTCTTGGTACATATGTTAGGAGAAATATTTATGAAAGGAAACTTTTATATCTAATTTCCAGATAGATGAGATCCCTATCAGATTCGGTACACATCCACGTATATATTGTTCATGCAAACCCTTATATCCCACCAGATCAAGTCGCTCATTTCACCGAACAAAGTGAACAAAGTCAAGAGAAGCAACAGCTGAATGCAATCCGAGCGTCTAAGCAACAGCCAGCAGGAAGCGAGGAAGAAGAGAATTAATCCTCGGCCTGCGTATCCGAAGAGTTTCGGGTACCTAATCGAAGCCGTGCATGGTTCGAAGCTCCAAATCATCACAACAAATCAGCATTCGGGAGACGAAGGGCGAGGGCGAGGTCAAGATGAAAGCTCGGTACCCCTCCCCGAAAGCCGGAACCAGCCGCGGCCAGGGCCAGCACGACAAGTACCCGAAGCCTCAACTCGAAGCCAGATTAATATAAACAAGAACCTCCCGAAATTAGCCCCAGAACGGAGCAGACGGACTCCGTCCCGCAAAATAATGCGATTTCAAATCGAGAAAATAATAGCGCCGGCCAAATTAGCAACCACGTAAACCGGTTCGCAGTAAATCGCCCGCCGTGACGCGGCCCTGTCCTTTCTCCCGAGCTGCGGGAGAGCAGATTAATGGTAGCTGGCAGGAGCCAGGAGGGAGGTGCGCACGGGCGACAGGCCACGGGCTGTAGCGCGTGCTCGCAGATCGGGCGACGGGTGCTGCCGGTACCGCAGCAAGATAAGCAGAGAAGGCGCAATGGATCGAGAGGAGGGAGAGGGAGGAGGGAAGGAGGGAAGGGGGGAAGGGAAACGAAGGGAAGAGGAGCGCGCAGCCGAGGGCAGAAGAGCAGAGGGAGGGGGAGGGAGGGAAGAAGACGAAGGAGGACAGACGAGAGGCCGACCGAGGTCGAGGAGCGACGAGGCGGCGATCACGAACTGAAGGTCGGGTTCTTGACAATGGGGGCGAGAGCGTGGCCGCGGAGGGAGTGATCGAGGCCAGGCGGGCGCGGGAGGCGAATGCAGCAGCAGCGGCAGGAGGAGGGAGGAGGGTTCAGGGTTTAGCGTGGCGGGTGGGGGAGTGGTTGTGAGGGATCGAGATTGGGTGCGGAATGGAGCGAGCGCGGAGGGGCTTGTTTGTCGAGCCTTGTCGGAGCGGGGGGGGCGCGGATGTGGGGACGGAGGGCGCGGGGCTCCGCGATGGGCGTTGACGGTATGGGCGACGGAGAAGGGCATGGACCGCGCAGCGCCTGGAAGGAGTGAACTGCTCTGCGGCCACGGGGTTGTTGAGCAGCAGCGGCAGCAGCAGCAGCAGGAGCGCCTCATCTGTGATGGTGTATTTTTCGACGGAGTATAATGAGAGATGCTGCAGCTTGCATTGACGAACAGGGGGCGAGAAGGAGTGGCGGAGCAGCAGCAGCAGGGGGCGGTGGTAGGAGTGTCGTCGAGGCGCATTTGCGGAGGGGCATTCTGCTGGTGAAAATCTGGCAAGAAGTGCTGCGGGTGAAATTCGAGGGCGAGAAGAAGGATTTGTTTGGCAGGCTGGATGAATTCAAGAGAGAAATGTGGCTCCTGTTGGTAGCCGCGGGCTCGGGGTATCTGGCGCGATGCTGGCATAAGACTCTGAAGCCCAGGCCTCATTCGCAACTCGCGGACCATGCGTACGAAGACCCCGATGAGCGACCCGGGAGCCCCAACTATTCCAGCGCGCACCTCATCGATTCGTCGTCTCCCAATGGAATGCGCTACGCTTCGCACGGCCATCACGTTTCTCCCCGAGGCTCGGGTCGTTCGTTTTCCTCCAAAGGCCTGAGCAAAAAGCTCTTCTCCGAAGGGGCCCAGGCGCAGTCCAAGACTCCCCAGAAGGACAAGGAGGGCGAGCCCAACGGGGGCCCCGATGACTCCAGGAGACTCGTTGGAGGGGTGATTGACAAATCCCTTGACGCGAGGTCTGAGAGCCGGAGGAGTCCGTGGTCCAGCTTCAAGGTAAAGAAGAAACAAGGGTCGGCGGACGATGCCGAAAGGGAATCTTCAGCTGGTTGCCTCAAACGGACAGGTGACAAATTTCGCTGGGTTAGGGAGAGGAGGAAATCCAGTTCCGACAACGATTCGTCAAGTTCTCGTAGCCTGCAGGCTCTGCTCGCCGAAGGAGATGAGACCACCGCGTCAGTTGCCGGATCGAGCAGCAGAGGATTTGCATCTGCTGCTCAGAGCAAGAGCCAGTCAATTGACTTAGACAGGTCCTTCACTGGGCCGTTTGTGATTGAGGGTAAAGATGCTCCCCAGCCTCCTCAGGTTTCCGAGGAACTGCTAATTAGAGGCATTGTCCGCGAGAAAGTTTCCCAGTTCGAACAAGGGAAAGCAAGTTCCAGTTCCATCTCCAAAGGTTCACCCGATGCTAAGAGCACGTCCTCATCCGCTTCCAAAGAGGATTCGTCGAGCTCGGGTGCTAAAGAAGACAAAGGCAACCTCTCCCTCAAAGCTGAGACTGTGAACGCCGTCCTTTCTCTGAGGGCTGCCAATCTCGCACAGGCTCAAGCACAAGCCCAAGCCCAGGCCCACGCGCTGGAAAGGGAGAAACTGCGAAACCTCAAGCTAGACAGCATTACCAGCACGAGTCAAGATGAGGAGGATGTCTTGTCAGGTGGAAAAGGCAAAAGGAGAACGGATGTACGCAAGTACCCGGGTAGTGGAGAAGCTGCTCTTCTACCAGCATTACTGTCGGGGAAGAGGACTAAGGATTCCAACAAGCCAATGTCTCGGGACTCGAGTGAGGTAACATTGACAAGTCTCACGGGCAAGAGGATGAAAGACAGAGAGATTGCCGATGAGGACAACGAGGACCAAGCGGAATCTTCCTTGGCTTCTATGTTTGGGCCCATTGATCTCTCCCAGGTCTTTTTCGGGTTCGACAGTATGTTCTTTGGGTCACCTAAAGACGATAAATCGCCAGCGAGAGGTTCCAAACGGTCCAAGTACATGAGCAGGTCTGGTAACAGAAACCTTCGTAGGATGAGAGAGTCTCCAAAACCTGTTTCTGCAATCGAGAGCTGTCTCAGAGCGCAGCAGTTCAGGGATGAGAGTCCTCATGTCGCCAGGACTCTGAATTTTAGCTCCTACGGTGGAGGAGGAGAAGTTAGTCCGTCGTTTGGTCAATCCGATGAATCACATTCCCCGAGCACCCCCTCGAAAATGGTGGAATTCGGCGAGAGGAAAGGAAAGAATGCCGAATTTGAAGACGGTATGCAACCTGATGAGCTCAAGGGTGTGATAGGGCTCCCCCTCCTGAGAACTCCACGAAGGAAGGGTCCATCATCACACCGTAAGGACGCCCAGTCGTACAAGGGAGGGTTGGAGTTGGTTCTTGCAGAATCGAACTTTCCTAGGACTGTCATTTCGGAAGAAACAGAAAGAATATACCCCAGCCAGTCGAAGCTCAATGACGTTGTCTGGAGAAGAACTTCCCTTCCAGTTTCGTTGAAGAAAAGAAAGGTTTCACAAGCTGTCACACCTTCTTCAATTCCGGCTGATACTACCGGAAATGCCTACGAATTTGAAGGTTCGGTCCTCCAAACTTTCTCCTGCAGCGAGTGCTTGTTTGCTCGTTTTGTGCAGTTCTTGAGCACCTATACAGAGGAGATCGAAAGGATTCCATCACACCACTGTACACAATCGTTACTCTCTCTGCAAGAGTTGGTCCACTGATTTGTTCCTTATTCCGATTGACCAGCCACAGCCTAGCCTGACTTGTCAATGTGTGCAAGCGTGTAGCCAGTTGTCTTTGTTATCTTCTCTACAGAAAAGGAGTCTCTCAGGAAATATAGATCTAAATATTGTAGCCCATCTTTTCATGTTGAGACTGCTGTCGATCGCGGGCAAGGGCACGCATACAGCTCTTTTAATGACGTCGGATTAATGCCAAAGCTTTAGCTAAGTTGGTTCCGTCCAGGAGGCGCACTGTGTAGGTCCCAAATGCTTCCCAGTGCCCGCATTGAGCTGACATATTTGCCCTGAGCTCCACTTACGGAAAGTCTGTTCAGTTCTGTATGTTACAGTTTCGTAGTTTAACCTGCTGATAACGTATATCTGATTAGAGTTTTTGCTTGTATGCAGCTTTGGTCATTCCGCCTATGGAGGGACTACTTTTCAGTTTCGGAGTTGGAATTGGAGTCATGTCCATTATGGAATCATCGGAGAGTGAGATTGACAGGCTTGGCAGATTACTGCAAGAATCAGAAGAGAGGATCGAGCACCTGAACGATCTACTGAGAGAATCAAGACAAATTACAGCTGACTTTGGTGGATTGTCCTCTCAACAGCTGCTATTAGCCGGGAGCATTTCCAGTGACGGACGGGTGTTCGTAGAGGTATGTATGATCAGCGTAGTGTGTGTTTTTTCCCTTGGCGAGGCTCCGTCCGACTTTTTCCAAACCTGGAGACGATTTGTCGTATTATAATTCTCCCGGTGATAGGCCACCGCAACTACCTGTCTTGCTTGAAGGCTTATGTACGTCTGTGTATTACAGGTTGGCAACAACAAACCTCCGAGAAATGTTTTGGCCCTCGTTCCTGTAATAGATGAAACTGGGAGAGAAAGAACTGATTTGTTCAGGAGAGAGGCACCTGAAACTCCGCAACAATTGGAACACATGGCTGAGTTGGAGGCAGAGCTGGAAGCAGAGCTAGGCTTGCTTACCGCTGGGATTTCCGAGGATTTCAACGGCACGCCTGACTTTGATGAGGTACACTTTCTTCCTGGGTGTCCGGCTGATATAGCTTTCCTCAATCGACTTAGAGAACTGAGTACTAGGCCAAATTGCTATGCCAAAATAAAATACATAGTGATTATTACGGATTATAACGTCCACTCCTGTGAAACATATTTGGCATTGTTCTCGGCGCTCGAAGGATACCTTGAAGAGCTAATGTCATCACTCACAAATGGCGGTGCGTGCTCTGCAAGAATGTGCAGTTGGACCCGGAAGGAGTGGCGGGTGTGGCCGATCGTGATTTGGTTGTCGAGGGGTTACCAGCTGTATTAGATTGGGACGATGACAATGATGATTTCGTTCCTGCCGATGTCCCAAATCATTCTGGGGGAGGTGTGCCTCCAAGAGAACTAGCTAGACTTTTGCGGAAGGTGAAGAATTCTCGACAAGAGCACCAGATCCACGAGCTTGAGGCAGATCTCATAGAGGCAGAGGAAAGACTGGAGAAAATGGAGAAAGAATTGCAGGAATTGAAGCAAAGAATTGGATCCGCTGCACCTTCTATCACAGGCAAGTTCAAGTCGGTGTATCTCTTTTGAGATTTTCAATGAAGTAAACGCGCGAGTTAGTGAATGTGCGAAGAGTTTGGAAAAATGTCTAACACGTCCGTGTCGATCTCTCAGGTGGTACGATGAAGGTTTCTGATTCAGCTGCCATAGACCCACAGCCCGAAATGGTTTCTGATGATCAAAGTTCACAGGAGGCCCAACCTGATCTCCGAAAGGACCAGGTACCTGAGGTCGAGGAGCATCCTGACTGTTCGAGTGATGGTGCCTCGTTGGAAAAAGATGCTGCTCTGGAAGCCAAGAAGCTTGTTTCTGAACAGTTCAGCCCTACTCTTCCAGACAAACCCAGTCCCTCGAGCCGCGCTGCTCAACCGTCAAGCCTCCGGGGATCAGTGAAGAGCCTGATGCTGTCGGAGGAATCTATGGAAACTGAGGCTCAGGCTGCGAATGATGCCGTCTGTGATGAGTTTCTTAGTTCTGTTTTTGGTAGCACCGCAGAAGGTGCGCAATTTGTCGGAGTGGAGGTGGAGGAGGAGGAGGAAGAAGAGGATTTGGATAGCCCGGAATTCAACGTTTCAGTCATCGAGATGCCTTTGTCTCCCGTTGCCGGTGGCAAGAGCAGTGACCCCGCAGCTTATAAAAACAATTCAAGTATCCCATCTGCAGGTGAAACGAACTCCTTGCTACCGGGTGTTCCCTCCAAGGCGACCGGGGAAGATTTGGACCATGTCGTCGGTGAGCTGTTACGAAGAGACAGCAGCACTGTGAAAAACGCCATAAAAGAGTTTCTTTTGTGGGAGAGAGCTGAGGCAGATGAGACTAATCCGAACATGGAGGAACTGGTGGAGGAAGAAGCAGCTGCGCAATCGTACTCCAGACGAGCTGCCGGAAAATACTCAACACCTCAAAAATCCATGATGTCTACGAGACTTGAGCAACTGGCAAGAACGTCTTTCGAAAGTGAGAGGCCGCCGATTCGCCCCGAGGCTCCCCCACCGCCGTTTGGTACTGCCAAGTTAGATGATAAAACCATGAAATTGTTCGGGCTACGTGACCGTGAAGCCTCGGCGAACATAAAGGAGCGAAACCACTCTCCTTTGCCTAGAAGAGAAACAACGAAGGCTGAAGCATCGAAGGTGAACACAGCGAAGGAAGGTGCCTCTCGTTTGGTGGCTGCTGAGTTGTCTGCAGCTGACAGTGAATTCCAGAGTATTCTAGAGAAGAGGCGGGAACTGAGATATGCCTCTTCGAAAGTTGGACTTTCACTTGCTGGTGCTCCTCCAGTCCCAGAGCGCGAAGGTGGGACCTTCTCTCGACACAGAGAAGATCCAAGCCGAGCGGGAACGAACTCCCCAATCCAAAAGTTGTCAAACAAAAACTTGTTCCATAGTCCTCACACCAAGAACACTCGCATCTCATTAGAGACACAAAATAATAGGTTGTACCAAAATCCTATGTCAGATTGGTTAGCAGAAGTCGGTAGCCCACCTTCAGAAACCTCTTAGTGATAGTTTAATAATCCAGTGATACACCTGCCCATGACTTGAAATGTTGTAAACCTTACTGCGATACGTCTGCTCACCCTATTTCCCCTTATTCATTCCAGCCTGGTAGTTCTGTTGTATATAGATACTGAAATTAAGAGACTGCATTCTCTACTTTGGAAAGAGGGGTGTCACAAGGCTTTTTTTTCCACTTTGCCTTGGCAATAAGCTAATCCAGAACATGACACAGATAGAACTCTGCAAGAGACTGGAAACTCGTGATTGCAGATCACATTCGAAACCGCACGCAGGGAAACCCAAAGAGTTTCGTCTTGTTATCCCGAAGTGTTTTTCATTGCAGGAGAAGGTCGGTGAACGGCTTCAGGTTGTGGAAATATCTCTGACCCTTGCCCTTCAGAGAGGGAAAGGGAGTGCAAACAGATTCTTAGTATCCAGCTGGCTAGTCCACGCCAGAAAAAGGCTTATTGATTCATAGGACGGATTGTGAGAGTTAGGAGTCCGGTGCAGTTGGTTCCTTGTACCACATGGTATCTTGTCCAACTGTTTTCTGGTGCCACAGGCTTGTAATTTCTTGATGATCACTGAAGAAGTCTCTCATTGCAGAGCTCTATTGAAAGCTCTTATGTCACCGGTGTTGGAATCCGCTCACCTGTGAGAAATTTACTTGCCGAAAACAACTCAGATCTCTTATTTTGTCCAGTTTTGAAGTGGCCCAGTCCCCTCTTGTAATACTTCTATGTTAAGTGTTGCGTCTTCGTCTTCCAACTCGGAGACTGTTTCGTCTGTTTGTTTGTCCGAGTGAACATTGTATATGCGTTAAAGGTTGTGTGGCAAAGAAGGTGGATGGCCCCGTACAGAGTGTGATGAGGACCAAGCCGTACAACGTGCTGCAGTGGCTGGGGTTGGATTGTATGTATGCCACCAGATCCAATCCTCAGTCCACCAGCGTTCATCTCACTTAGACAACATGATGTGTAAGGCTAACTTTTACCGGGTTGACACCAAACGCTTATACAGAAACAACTTTATCCAAGAGAGCAGAGCGTAACAGTAGTGTGCTGTGAATCACGAACTTACTGGAGAAACAGATTTGCAGGAGCACAATGGACTCATAAGTGAGGTGGAAAAGATAAATGGTGGAAACAGTAATAATCGTCTCCATCAGGGAAGTTCTGAACTTCCGTGTCATGCACGAGGCAGTGAGTTGAGATGAAGTCTTTGTTAGATTTCCGAGAGGTCCCAACGTCACCTGGTTTACTCGCTTTCTTCGCACGTTAAGACAACACGATGTGGTTGTGAATGAAGGGAGTCGTCAGGCAGCATCCGCATTGAGTGGTGGTTACTGTCTGCGCATCTCTCTCCACGAAGCCAGTTGCCTTTTACTCAGCTATTTTTATAGATATGCAGATAAACATAGATGCCTTTACAGGCACTCGCTGGCAGCCTGACCATGGAAGAAGCGACAAAGAATGCACGGGATATCTACAGAGCGTCTGACAGTCTTAATGTAAACTGATGCAGTAAACCAGCACTAGTGGAGTCATGAGAGGTGAATGTTGATCTGGTCTCTTTTCCACCACCAACCTTATCGTCCAATTGAATAGGTCTAGAACTTTCGGACCTCTGCATGAGCATGGCGCGTTCTTCCATGCGTGCACAATAGATGTACGTGGTGTTCGTTACTTTTATTGAAGCAGAAAATATACAAAGTAAAATTAAAAAATTATGAGACGAGGTGCTCATCTCCTATGTGTATGAAACCAAAACCAGCAAACATGAACTAACGACCAATCTCAAAATATTTGCCTCAATTTCTAACCTATTTGCATAATCTAAGTCGCTGGGTAAATATTAAATAGTATATTCAAATTTTTTTTGATCTATGACTTACAGCATTATAATTGTTAGAATATTTTAAGAATTAACAATTAAAAACTTGAACTACAATTAATGTATAGGTCTTGGAAGAATTGTCTAGTTTGTATAGTCATGAAGTCAAATTGTGAAGGATATCCATAGTTTGCGTAGAATGATTTTTGATGTACAAATTCTTTAAATGAAAAATTATAATCAAACTCTGTAACTGGAAATAATTCCATCCAATTGTTTTGATGGTAGTTGATAGAGCATCTTAAGTATTGCTTTAATATTTGATTGATTTGTGGTTTATCCATCTATCTTAGTATGATGCATGAATGATAGATTGATCTTCATTTGTAAGATCTTGAACATAGATTTCCAAAACTTGGATTTGCATTATATATTACAATACAAAATGATATCGTTGGAAAGTACATAATATTTGTACAAAATATCAAGAAAAATTTGCGACATTTTTTACTTGTGATAAACTTGTTGCAAGTCACAAAATGTCTTATATTTGTCAAACTATCCAATACAACAAAAATTAAATAAAAAAATTTGAACTTTGAAAGATCTAATGACCAATGACAAGATATCTTGAATCTAAAATAAATGTCACATGTTGTGACATAATCCTTCACGTTTTTCCATATTTGAGATCATCAAAAGTTTTTGGATATCATGTTGATAATTTTGTAGTAATCAAGATGTGACACCGATGAAAAGTTGGATCGAGACTAGAGCATTCAAAAGTTGACATAATACTTCATGAACTGAAGTAATCCATAGTAGTATAACAACTTATTTCGGAATTGGATATATTGATCAACATCATCTTGAAAAAATTCATGCTTGTGTATTTGATTAGATTGACTTCAAAATTTCAGATCTATAACCTTTGCATTAGGTATTGAGAGTCCGGCCTTGAAATTACTTCAAGATTGAATTTTTCATCATTGTTTTCTTAATTTAAAGGCCAAAGGATTGGATTATAAACTTACTCAAAAATCTTACACAAAAGATGACTCCATCAAAATTGTGGTGCTCATAGTAGTTACATGAAGTTGCTTAGACTTGATAAGGGTAGTCTTTTGCTGGTTGTAAGCTCTACTTTTCTTCACGAGTGAAAGATAAATTTGTCCAAAAAGAGCGTGGAATCAAATTTGCTAAAAAATGGAAGTATACAAGATGAAAAATTGAAATGCAAAAACAATATAGTCCAATAGACTTATTGACAATTTAGTTACTTGGCAAATTCAACTATGCAAGATTTCTGTGATCGATCTAGAAGCTCTTTAGAATTGATGTAGTCCAAAAAAATAACTTGGGATTGATGAAACATGCATTGTTTGAGATTGTCATATAGTTCAACCGTGCGCAATCTTTCCAAAACCACTTAGACATGATTAATGTGATTTTTTTCATTCTTAGAGAAATCAATATGTCGTCAAGATCATAGACAACAAATATCTTAAAATTTTTCAAGTGTTGAAAGATGGTTGCATTGATAAGATCAAAAGTCATGACATTGTGTTCAAAATGTCGATAACTAGTTTGGAACACTCATTCATCATCTATTTGAACTAGTTTGAACTTTCATTCATCATATTACTTAATAATTACTAGATTGTGATTTACACAAAGATCAATCTTTACATGGATCTTTGCTTGATCAAGTTGATCAAGAAGTTGTGAAATAAGCAACAATGAATATTGATAATTGATATCGAACTTGTTAGTTCACGATAGTCCACGCTCTGTAACCATTTTCTTAACAAAGTGGATAGGAATTCCACCAACTAACTTGGAATGTCAAATGAAGTTATTCGCATGAATTTTATCAAGTCAATCTTGCAATGCAATAAGCTTGTTCTGAAAGAGGTTGTAAATTAGATTAATGAGAGTTCAATGCCACAATCATAAGTTGGTTGATGAGGAATTGTATCCACATTCTTCTTTTCAAACACGTTTCGATAATACTCATATTTTTGCTGAAAATTTGATTGGTTCTTGAATGAATTGAGATGTCGAAATTGCATAAATTCATTCATTGACAATCTTTTCATTCATTAATCTTTAGTTATAACTAATTAAAGATGATGAAAAAATTCTATCCTTTTAAGACTCAACATCTGAGTTGCACATCCGTTAAAATTCTTGAAATATCAAATATGCATTAGCTAGATTTATTTATAACTTTTTTTCAAATTGAGTCATATGATGAATAGACTTTTCATTGAATCAAATATTTTATTTTAGAATATTTATGATCTTAAATTTGTCACTTGAATGACTTCTTTACATCAAATTTCTCATGATTAACTATCAAGGGTAGTGGAGTAGATGTTGATTTGTGAATTTTTTTAATTGATACATGTTTTTGAACTCATGGCACATAAAATGCAAGATTTATTTTCATATGTGAAAGAAGTTTCAAACTATATGACAATTCATCAACACCATTTAATATCTAAAAGTATTAATGTATATAAGATAACATTTTGATGTTATTTAAAAACAAAAATTTATTGTAATCAATCAAACATAAATCTTTATTTGAAAAATAAACTCTCTATAATGAGCATATGTCATCTGAATGATGTTGAATAATCACCAAATTCTCCTTTGTTCGATGTACCTTTTTATGAATATGCTTGACAAAGTTGTTGATTGTGGCTACTTTGATAAAAAACTACTATCTTTTTGAAGCTTCATCAAACTTGACAAAGTTATAGAATGAAAACTTTACATGAAGTAGAATAGTGAACAACTTTGTAGATTCATTAACAAAACTATCATATGCAAATTTCACAAGATTCATAAAAGTATTTCACTTGTGTTGATTCTTTTAATGTGAATGAAAACTTTACATGAAGTAGAATAGTAAACATCTTTCTAGATCCATTAATAAAACTATCGTATGCAAATTTCACAAGAGTCATAACAATATTTCACTTGTGTTGATTCTTTTAATGTGAATGCTTGCAGCATATATTCTAACATTCTATTACATGAAATAAATTGGAGACATTTTTATGTATGAATTTACATTGCATGCAAATTTCACAAGAGTCATAAAAGTATCCCACTCTTGTTGCTTTCTTAATAAGAATGCATGTAGCATATATGTATAAATATATTATTTAATATATAAATAGCAATGTAAAATTTATTTAGATATATTTAAATATCTAATAAGCAAATTAATTATGATAGATTTTCATCACAAATTTCTTATCATCTAAATAATGTATCTTGTGTTTTGTTTTCAAACAATAACTAACTTTTTTTTGTTCTATTATGTGGTAATTTTTTTTCAAAATCATCAATTTTCACAAAAATTTTGAATGATATACTTAATTTCATTTTATTGAAGTATGAGATACATCATTGTGCCTAACGTATAAATTGCCAATTTGATAGATCAATTAGAATCATATAATTGAGTATAATTGCGTGTAACAAAATTTCTTTCAATATCTAAAAAACTAAATCTTGAATTCTTTTTCATCTTTATTTTTAAACTCCAAGCAGATTCTCACTCAAACTTAACTTACTACATTTTTTATAGCTTATCAAAACAATTTCTTTAGATGATTGTGTTTCAAATATTCTTTCACATAATCTTTTCATTCATCAATCAATTTCAAACATACATCGACACTCCAAGACCATTGTGTAGCTCACCGTTTTATTTTATGAATGAAACAAGTTTTCAAACAATGAACTTCCAAACTTGCTTGACAATCTTTTCATTACGTTTCCATTATACTTGATAAATGAGCATAGTAATACATAGTAATTATCATCTAACTCACATTTTGTAAGATAAATCATGATAGTTTTGATCA